TCTGACTCCCATTCTATCCACATATGTGTCGAAGACCACGACGTCTTGGCGACCATGACGTCTCATCTTCCTACAATTTCTCGTATCATGTGATAATTGCGCTCTATGTATTACTTCCCTTATGGGCTCGTGGCTCCTTCGTGTTTGCTACTGCTCCACTGTTATCACAATATACTGTGATACCACGTGGCAAACTCAGAACCACATCCAAGTCCAAAAAGGGAGGTCGAAAAAATAAAGAAAAGGCCAATTTACTAGAATCAAAGGTAGCCAATTTCACTCTTGGATCGAGTCATCTTAACTCGACCTTAGTGGGAGCGAACAAATGATATGGATAATGTACCAAGTCAACTGGACCCAGGAAACAACATAAACGAACCAGACAAACTATCAGGTTGAGCGGAGATTGGAGACTGCACATGTAGAAAGATCCTCAGGTCGAAGAGGACATCAGGGATGCAGAGAGCACCAGCATGTCGAATTAGGGACCTCGAATGTCCTGATTGAAGTTCAACCTGAAGGTACATCTTCTCGAAGGATCGACCAGACAAAGAGAACATGAAAGCTCGATATCATTGGTACTCTATCTCGAGGTAAGAAGGGGCGGTTGCAAGGTTAGACTGTCTAATAAGGAAGAATAAAGGATAAGAAAGAATATTGTTTTGATTAGACCCCCACGTGGATAGGGCCACATGACCTAACAAAATTTAGCAATTTGGGCAGTACGAACAGGCAGTCTAGATAGCCCATTCGGACAGGCTTGGATAACAAGGTATCATCTCTCTATAAAAGGGAATGAGATCTGTCCACCCTTATATTACATTCTCCATTATTTCATACACACATACTGCACTTCATGTTCTACAAGTGCTAACTTAAGCATTGGAGGTTCTTTACCGAAAAACCCCTCTGGTGTGAGAGTTTTTGCAGGTTGCAAGATGTTCAACCGGCAAGGAGCTTGAGAGCAGACCGAATCCTACCGGTTAGAGGTCTTTTAGATACCACAATGGACCTTGGATCTTTATTCTTTGATTAAAACATGAACACTGCTCTAGTGCCAATTGAAACATATGCGGGGTAAATAACTAGTGTACGTAAGGTGTGTTCGAAAACTAAAATAAAATTGAAAACAAAAAATGTAAAAATCTCTTCGGGGAGCGTCTCACTTTCCCTCAAAGCTCTTTCCCCTCATGTCGCAAGACGTTCAACCGGCGAGGAGCATCAGAGCAGGCCGAATCCAGCCGGCCAGAGGTCTTTTAGATACCACAATTGACCTTGGATCTTTATTCTTTGCTTAGAACATGGACACTGTTCTGGTGCCAATTGAACAAATATGGGGAAAATAACTAGAGTACGCAAGGTGTGTGCGAAACTAAAATAAAATCAGAAACAAACAATGTAAAAATCTCTTTGGGGAGAATCCCACTTCTCCTCAGAGCTCTTTCCATTAATAGGTTGGTTTGTGTAAACAAAGTACAACTTGGACTTACAGTACTCGGATTCCCTTCTAGTCTAGCCAACACTATAACCGACTCTAACTAATCACCTTCAACCATCATTTCTTTTGGAGCCGATTTCCTTTCTTATTTAAATCCTCAAGATATAGTTGAGATCTTACAATGATGGCCGATATCTTCATATTGCAATCATGATCGACCTTAAGACACGATCTCCTACAGTGCAAAGGGACGGGCAAGCATTCTAATTCATCCAACAACCAAAACAAATATTATGGTAAAAAGCAACCAGATCTATTGGATACTGAAGTAAATATATACTTGCCATATGTAACAATATAATTTCTAGACTTAATTAAATAAGAGAGAGAGAGAGAGAGAGAGAGAGAGAGAATAGATCTTCCCCTTTTATTTTTCTTGCTACCTAGAACATCTTGCCAAAAAAAAATCATACACGTCAGAACACTTGTTGAGTAATAATCATAGAGTGCGAACTAACCAAAAATAAAATTTGAAAAAAAAAAATAATATGTGATTAATTATGTATTTGTTGATTCGCCTAATAATTGCATATTTTAATAAAAAAAAAAGTAGAAGTAATGGTTCTGAGGATCACAGTTCTGACATGTCTATTATGTTGTTTAATAGCAGAATTTGAATTTACAATTTGAAAAATATTATTACTCTACAATCTACTCTGTCACGAAAATAGTTGCATAATCAATCGCATTTTTTGAGGCAATCACGTCCTCGAACTGTCGTTTCTGCGATTCAATATTCATATCTTTTTTTCCGTCTGTCGTAGTATATCTAAAACGCTTCAATTGTTTTTTCTATATAATAATAATTGTATGACAAATATGCGTCAGGACAACTTTTGTGTGATAGTCACAGATTACTTACGAATTTATCAAAAATAAAACTTCAAATAAATTAACATGTGATTAAGTATGCATATAATGTTTCCCCTCTTAATCACATATTTTAATAACAAAATAAAAATAATGGTTTCAGGATCACAATTTTGACGTATCTTTTACGCATTTTAATTACAAAATTTGAATTTACAATTTAAAAAATGTTATTACTATGCGATCTATTCTGACACAAAAAATAGTAACATGATGAATCGCATTTCCCAAGGCAATCAAATCTTCAAACAATCATTTTTTGCGATTTAATTTTCGTATATCTTTGTCAGTCTGTCGTAGCGTATCTGCAATGCTTAGGTATTTTTGTTAAAAAATAACTATATCACGAATATGCCTCATAACAACTTTGGAGTAATAATCGCAGATCACTTACAAATTTATCATAAATAAAATTTCAAATAATTAATATACAATTAATTATGCATACAATATTTCGCCTACTAATCGCATAGTTTATCGCATAACGAGATCAAGCTTGCTTAATTTTCTTCGCCTTGTGTCGCATGTTTAACACATTATATGTTTCGCACTTTATCAACTACCTTTGTATGTTTGTCGCATTGTGTATCACGTTATGAGATCGCACTTTCTCAATTATCTTTGTCTTTTTGTCGCATAGTTTAACGAATTGTATGTTTCTCACTTTGTTAATTATTTTCTTCTGGTTGTCGCATAGTTCATCGGATAAATATTCTGCACTTATCAATTATCTTCGTCTGTCTGTCACAAAGTTTATCGCATAAATATTTCATACTTTATCTATTATCTTCGTCTCTCTGTCGCATAATCTAATTCGCACTCTATCAATTATATTCGTTTGTCTATTGTATAGTTTATTGCATAATTGTTTCGCATTGTACCAATTATCTTCTCATGCCTGTCGCATAGTTTATTGCGTAAATGTTTCGCACTTACCAATTATCTTCACTTATCTGTCGTATAGTTTATAGCAAAATCGAAATCACACTTTATCGATTACCTTTGTCTGTCTGTCTCATAGTTTATCATATAAATATTTCACACTTTATCAATTAACTTCGCATGTCTGTGGAATACTTTATCGCATAGTTATTTTGCACTTTATCGATTATGTTCGTCTGTCTGTCGCATAGTTTATCGAGTAATCAGATCGCACTTGCTCGGTTATTTTCGTCTTTATCTCGCATTGTTTATTACATTATTTGTTTCTCACTCTATCGATTATCTTCGTTTGTCTATCGCATAGTTTATCGCATAAATATTTCTCAATTTATCAATTATCATCGTCTATCTCAACAGTTTATCGCATAATTTGTTTCACAGCTTATCCATTATCTTTGTCTGTTTGCCGAATGATTAATTGCATAATTTGTTTCGCTCTTTGTAGGATGAAAAAATTAGCTACTAATTGCTGGTGTAAAATATTTACTTCACTTTTTGAGTGGGGTGAAAATTATTATTTTCTCATTAATAGATAGTATTAGCATGCAACTCGTACCTGTGCTCATTGGATAAATACTATTTTTTTTCTTTTGAAACAAGAGGTATATAATGTTCATACTTTCCCTCCTCGGTGACTCGAACTCATGACCGATTTTATTAGCTAAACACTAACTTAATGAAAAAACAATGAGAGAGATCCTTCAAATCAATCTTTATTGTCTTCCTTACGTTTCAATTGAACATACATTACTTTTTCACAACCTACTACCCTTCCAAAATTCCAGATACGCACTCAATTCTCAGAATCAAACACGAAAATGCTCGGAGCATGCCTACCCACATGATCACATGCACACCCCTTCACGAGGCTGCGTCAGAATGGCTCCCAGGTACTAGCGCCGGTAGCGCTGGCCTAGTGTCGCTACTTCTTGCCTAGCGCCGCAAAAGAAACTTAGCGGGCAACAGAACCTAAAGCTCCTGAACGCCTAGCGCCGCTAGCACCGGTTAGCGTCGCTAGACCCGCTATGTCCCAGCTCGTGCCACGTCTACCTTAGCGCCGCTAGAACCAGCTTAGCGGCGCTAACCCCGACTTCCTGCACGCGCGAGATTTGACACGATGCCGTGTGCCACGTCTGCCTTAGCGCCGCTAGGCCCGCCTTAGCGCCGCTATACCCTGTATCCAGCGCACGATCATGAGGATGGAACGAGCTAATAGCCATGCATGCCCGAAGCGAAGTCCACCAATATGACGAGATTCCGAGCTCCCTTGGGACTGTTTCGCTTTCCTCTCTTCGAGACTTTTGAATGACCAACAGACTTGTGGTTGGTCTCGTATTTCATTATTGTGCGAATGAAGAACCGACTTGTGATTGTCCATTACGTTTTTGTAAGCCGTTTACCGGTTGTCTGAACTCAATTTTGATCTATATATTTACATTTAACAATAAAAAAAAAAAAATATTTTTATTGTCGTGCAAAATGCAACATAAAAGAAATACATCTCAGCCATCATTCCAAATCACCCCTGGAGTTTTAACATAAACCCCCACCCAAAACACAAAACAAAAGAAAAAAAGGCAAAACAAGAATGAACAAAGTTCATT